TTGATAAGAGCAGACACCACTAACACCTGGGGGGAGGCTCCATCTATTGGTGGGGAGCATCACCTGTTGGGAAACGGGGCCAGCGTCCCATATACCTGTCTCTTATACACATCTAGATGTGTATAAGAGACAGGGAAGAGAGAGAGAGAGAGAGAGAGAGAGAGAGAGAGAGAGACAGAGAGAGAGAGAGAGACATGAAACAAAAATAAGATGCCATCAGCGAGTGTTGCTGTGCGCCGCGGCGTAGCCGTGGCGGGGTCCACTTGTTATAGTAGTAATTACTCCTCCGAGCATTCCTCCCCTAGACGATCTCTCTCCTAGAGTTAAAACGGCTCCGAGCATTCCTCCCCTAGAGTTTATACTCCTCCTCCTGTATCCGCTAGAGAAGCCTGACAGTGACTGTCAAGACCAGAATGAACCTCCGCCTGCCGTGCAATCTGCAGAATCAAATGATATCATAGAGCTACAGTGAGCCCACTGTGTTTACTCTGCCATTAATGTGTGTCTGCTCGCTCAGAATTGCAGCCCCTATACTGTTTCAGATTGTGCAGACATTGTCTACTGGATAGAAGAGGAGCACCATGTTGTCTTCCCAGAGGAGGATGACAGTACTGCGGCTGGCTTAAACATAGAATTAATATCTACGGAATTGATGAGAAGAAGACTGTGACTCCAGCCCGGTGTGCAGAATTATATGCCTGACATGGACCCGGATATTTGTGCGGACATCCTGCATCGCCCGGATCATTTCAGTGATGTTACCTTTGCGGATAATTCATGGACCATGTGGGATGATGGTGGTAGGGTGACTCGGTGGATAAAAATATTACCTCTTACTATCGCCGAGTGGCGAAATCCCACTTGGTCTCACTGCTCAATCAGGAACAGTATGGGATGTGCCCTTGCAAGCTCTACAGACTCCGGAGAACCATCCAGCTGACCTTCCCCCTCCGCTGCACATGGCCAGGCAGCGTACCTTTTCTGTGCAGATCGGACGGATTCTAGCACACATAGCGAGGGGGTCCCTTCAGGGGATGGTGGCTGCGCCATGCCGTTGTGTCTCCAGGTAGGCACCGTTCGTTTAGCATGCACAGCGTTGCACGTGACAAATCGCTGCTCCAAACACTGTGAAGGGATGGCATCTTGCACTCATCCCCCCCACCCCTTATCGCCGGCCTGATATGCCATTGTGGCCTTGACATGCCATGCTTGAATAACTGTGGACGTCAACCTGCTTTCTTGCTATCATGTCAGCAACATGCCATGTCCCCACCAATTTTTCGAGGACGCTGTCGTGCAAAGTATGTGTGTCAACTGCGTGGACTATCCCCGATGCCAGCACCCGCACACAGCTCCGGGCATCCTCTGTCTGCATCCGTAATCGGATTTCCTCCATCCTTGCCAGATGAGCAACAGACGCAGCAGCCTGAGGTGGAAAACAGACTCTCACATGGACCACCTATAGTGCGCTGTACTGAAAGGCCATTGCCGCGCAACAACTGAACAGTGCCTTACTTTGGACCAGGCCCCATCGTCACCTGCCCGTAGAGAGGGGGGGAATATTGGCTGCAGAAACTCAAGGAACCTGCTGAATGCCGCACTGGGATGGCCCACCTGAGATTCGATTAGCATGTGATAGGCATGCTTTGTGTCGTGAGGATTAGGAAGGTAGTCTTTGTTGTCATATTCATGATGATAGTCAATATTGTACTCCTGTACGGCACCCTGACATGGCATGTCCTATTTGAACCCAGAGGCTGGAACAGTAATGCCTATAGAATTGTGGTCGGCGTGCTTCCGTGTCCCAAGCATGTAGGAGCCAAGTAGCCTGTGACATCTGTCTAAGCCTGTACCAGTCCTGTCCAGCCTGTAGTGGTGGCCACTTACCATAGGCAGCAACTGCAACTGCGAGAATTGGATGCGGTGCTTCCACAGTCCACACCTGAACCAGTCCTGTCCAGCCTGTAGTGGTGGCCACTTACCATAGGCAATCCCTGCTCGTTATCTCAAAATCCCCTCCAACCCAAACATTGGTTGGCCTCTGGTGCCATTCTATAGTAGTCTGCTCTGGTTGTGAGTACTAAGAAGCCTGTGAAGTTTGTCTTTCTTCTGTTCTGAAGTCCCCCCCCTCCCCCTTTCCTTCCTCCCTCCCCTTGTGCAGTACTACTAAAAGGATGTACTCCTAAATGCATACGAGTGACCATCACTCAAAGAACAGTCAAAACGTAAGCTGAGTTGCTAGAAAATGAACAGGAGTATAGCTTCCCCTTTACTCTGCCTCCTTTCATAGCGCGCAAGTGGGCCATTATGGCACACGGGGATGTGGGCAGCTTGCACTCAACCACAATCAATGTGGCAAGCATTGTACGTGAGAGGCACAGTAAGAGAGGAGCTGCAAGACCCTGCCCAAGGAAAACGCGACTAAGGAAAGCAAAGGACTGTACAAGGAAAAAGCAACGTAATGGTTTTACCATTTTAGTGCGCTTCGTGTTGTTTGCTATAGAGGTAAAGTTGTTTCAATTTTCGATCTGCTCATCTTAGTGTGCTTCATGTTGATTTCTATAGAGGTTTGTTGTGCTGACAGTTTGCAACACCCGCACATTCTCTCTCTCTCTCTCTCTCTCTCTCTCTCTCTCTCTCTCTCTCTCTCTCTCTCTCTCTCTCTCTCTCTCTC